AATGAGACTACTTGGGTGGATTTAGTGTAATTTTGAAAATTGAAAAGCACGCCTAATCCATATTCTAGACAAATTAATGTTGTTTCTTGAAAATTCAAAAATCCGAAGAAAAGGAAAATATACGAGCCCAGGCCTACGGCCTACCCGGCGCCAATACTCTTCCCCATCGTCTTCCTCACTTCACTTCACCCTTTGAAGCAAATCGAAGAAAACCGAAGACCCGTATATAAGCACGGATAGCGCTCTCGATCTGAAGCAGAAACCGGCATTTTCCTCACCGGAATATGAGCGGGGCCCGTTTGTGCGGGTTATTGGCGGAATTGGGGTACGAAGGTCACGGGTCGCTTGACCCGGACAGCTTCGAGTGGCCCTTCCAGTACGACGACGTTCGACCCATTCTCGACTGGCTCTGCTCTAGCCTCCGCCCCTCAAACGTCCTCTCCACTTCCGAGCTCTCCCAGTAAGCATTCTGATTTCTCTGTTTTCTGCTTATGAATGTGCTTGGATAACAAGTTGTTGGGATGGTTTCTGCTGAAATGGGGCTAAATTTGCAAAATTGTGGGGGAGAAAAAAGCTTGTTTATTTAGCTTTTGTTTAGTATGTATTGAAATCAGATGGGTTTTGGATGCAGTGGTTTTTCTGTTTAGTTTTTTATTTGGGATTCCCCAGGCACTGCAATCTTGGATAGTTTTGTGAAATCCGAGTGCATAGATTATCTGATTGTGTCTTGTCCCTCTTTAGTGGTTTAATTTAATCCATTTGACATTTTCAATCTGGTAAGTTCATACAGTTATTGTTTGTTGAAACAACATGTTGGGAGCCACAATTGAATGAATATGTTTGGAAGTTGTTCATGATTTTATTCAATCAGATTGATATCTTATATTTTTTATTTATCGTGTTAAAAAGCTATTCAATAAGATTGATATCTTATATTTTTTATTTATCGTGTTTACTTTTTAACTTTATATTTAACATGGGCAAGATGATTATTTCATAAAATTTTGTTTATATATCAAAAGAATTAAATATAAGTTTCTTATTAAGTTTAAATACAACAACAACATATAAGTTTCTTATTAAGTTTAAATAAAAGTGAAAAAGAAAGTTATAAACTAAGTAATATTAGAACACACAGTTTAGTAAACTAATTTATATACAATTTCATTTGTATTACTAATGTCACTATTTCCTTATTTAGTAAGAGAAAATGAGCTGAAACAATAGCATTCTTAATTATATAGATGTAGCTTTGTTATACATCAATATGTTCCTTCCTTTCTGATGATGTGAGAATTAGTTAGTGCCATTGCTGTTTTTCTTTTCATATTGAATTTTGCATTATGATTGACTTTGTATGCTTAGGATTTAATTTCTTACATCGACATGGTTGCCTGTCTGTAATCACGCCTTTTGTCTTACTAGGTACGAGCAATTTCTGCAAGAAGGAAAGCTTTTGGAGGTATGGCCATATATGCAATTTTTGTTTTCTGGTTTTCTGTCATTATCATTTCTGCCTTGGGCTAAATTGTCAAAGTAAATTGCATAGTGGCATTAATTATGATGCGTTCTCAGAATTTAAAATGTGAAGCTTTTAGTTGATGTTTGTTTGAAACTTTGTTGTTCTTCACATGATGGATTTGGGTGATGAACCTGAAAGTCTGAGATAAAGCTAAATGTGTGGTTAAATGGGCAGTTCTGTATCCGCAATTGCCAACAAATTGATCTTATTAATTCTGGCAATTGTTTCACTCTTGAATTCTTATAAAGGTTATGGATTATGTGATGGTATTGGGTAATAAAATAATGCGTCAATCATCAATGGTACATGAGCTACGTGGGTCATATTAGTAAATCTATTGAGATTTACATGGTGATTTATCATTCAATGTGTTAGCAAACCACCTTTATTTCTACAGAATTTTGTGGCTCTGAGCCGGTAATTTCTGTGTAAAGCATATGCCTATTGTTGTGTATTTGTTTTAATGGACGTATGTTTTACATGCCATTAGGGAGAGGATTTGGACTTTGCTTATGACAGCATTTCAGCCTTTTCAGCAAGGAGGGACAATCAAGAGGCAGTTTTTGGAACTGAAGAAGGACTAAAAGAAATACGGTACAAACTATCTTATGCTTCTGTTGTTTTACTTGCATTTAGTAGCTGAGAATGACAATTTTCTACTTCTTAGTTTGTTTGTTCGATTATGCGTTTAGTTGTTTGATGGATAAAACATGAGTTCTTGGCCTTGATAGAAGTATGATGCAAGGCCTCCCTGGTGGCCTGTCCTAGTTGAATCAGAATGTGACTTAACTTGAATTTGAGGATCCATTATGCTTATGGGCATAATCAGTGCAACAATTATTACAAAAGTTTTCATTGGACGGCTTTGTGAATAGGAGCGTGAGATTTCATAAAAAAATGCTCAATAGAAGCAAAATTAGATGAAGAAATTTGCTGCATTTGACTCATAAAAGCTTCTGTGGTATGTGCTTAAAAGCATGTTAATATTTCTCTTGTGAACATAGTTGATCCTTTTGTTTTCTATTCAAGTTGTCAATAAATTCTCAAAATTGGATTTCAGTTACTGATTGACATTTATTGTCTAAAATACCTGGGTGAATCACATTGCATGGGGATAAAGGAAAATACTGTCTAATCACAAGATTAAAATATCTCAATTACCACTCTGGACAAAAAGCCACCATAACCTTAATTTAACTCATTAGCACTTTTAGTCCTAATTCAATTTGTTGCCTTATTGGTGTCGCACTGCTCTGCCTAAAATCAAAATAGATCCTAGTTTATCCTCTTGGCCTTCAAGAGGCTGTGGTGGTGCATTTTTGCTGGTTTGCCTTATTTCTCAGACTTGGTTTTGTGTCAGTGATGCTACTTTGGCGGCAAAAGCTGAAGCTTTGGAATTACAGAAGCAGCTCCGGCATCTGCAGTTACGAAATGATATGCTCTCAGGACAGGCTTCAGCACTAGTCCAAGGGAGAAGATCACGAGTTGCTGCAACTTCTACTGCCAACGGGCAATTGACTACAATTGACGATAGCCTATCAGCAAGGAATTTGGAGGTATGCTAATGCCTAATAAGTCCATCTTCTCTACTTTCCCAATTTTTTGTGAATAATGCAGTTCATTGTCAACTTGTTGGTCGGCGTTGAATGTAAATTTGTTTTTTCGGCATACTTCTATGAAACTATTTGATGGTGGTCTTTGGATTTTATACACTCCCTCCAGTTTCCATTTTGGGATAATGTGAGTTTCTTTTTATTAAGATTGAAAATTTAGATTTGGGTTTTCTGTCCTAAAAAGTAGTTGTTGAGACAGTCCATGGTTTTTGGTTTGGGTCAAGAGGATGAATTAATGTCTATATCTGTTTCTGGAGTGATGTCTCATGTTGTAATAGGAGTAATTAATTTGAGATGGAAGGAGATCGAGTGGTATTAACTATAATTGATAGCTTGTATTTAAGATTTATACCCTTTGTTCTGGATTTACTGCAAGAAAACAACTTATTTAACAATCTGGTGATTGCTATTGTATAAGTTTGAATTCAGGACTGAATGCTGCAGCTACTTCTTATTTCCTTCATACCATCAGATGTTTGCGCCTTGATTTTGTTCGTGAATTAGATTCTCGTTTAATTTTATCTGTTGTGTCCTTTTCGTTAAGATTGACATAGCTGGATGTCCTTCTTCATAGCTTTTGATAGATTTCTATTAGGCCTTCCGGGTTCAGGGAGACCATTTAGAAAAGATTACTCCTCACTATTTCCTACCTTGTTCATCTTATATATGCGTTCCAGTAACTTTAGAAAGTTGAAACAATAAATTTTGCGCTTGCAGTTATTTTCGTGCAAAATTCACCCATGAGATGGACCTTAATTTTTATAATTATGCAAAAGTCTAACTTTGCATGTTTCTTAACTGTTTAGCAGTGAGGAGAGTGTGATACATACATTTGTTTCAAATATACATCATATGGAAGGTAGCTTGTGGAAATTCATTCGCATCTTCGTATACCGTTTTGATTATGAGTTATTATTCTGTTTTAGATGAATGCAGTTCTTGGACGGATCGCATCAACTGCTCAAGAGTTGGCACATTATCATTCAGGGGAAGGTACTGTATTTTCTTATCCCTCATATGTTATAAGAGAATAAATAATGTTATTAATTCTATGTTTTGCTGTTAATTAGAATATTAAGAACTATTATTTTACAGTAGTAGTCGTAATACTAAGAATAATTTTTTTTGACTACCTTTAAAAAGGTTTAATTTGACCATGTACTTTTTTTTTTCATTAGAGAATAATTTTACAAAGAAACAGAAAAAAGAGATATTATACCCGTTTCAAGTATGAAAGAAAATGTGTTGTATGTCAGTGCTAGCTTTGAGTGTGATGTTTTCTAAGATAAAGTTTATCTGCTCTAGTATCGGCAATAAAAAAATCTTGACTGTTGATGGTATGACACGTTATTAATGTCAAATGTGTAGAACTCACACTGATATTGTGACAATTAGATGGTATGACACAAACACAACTTCAACCTATTGAAATTATACTTGAGATGCTTTGCTCCAGTGGTTCCAGTTTAGATATAGTATGCCTTTGAGTGGCCTTTTAACATTCTGGGCATGCAGAGGAGGGAATCTACTTGGCGTATGCTGATTTCCGTTCATATTTGCTCACTGATGCCTCGTGCATGAAGGAACTCAATCAGTGGTTCTCAAAGCAACTAGATTCGGTACAGAAGTTCTTTCTCTCTCTCTCTCTCTCTCTCTCTCTCTGTAATTAAATTATCTAGCATATAAACTGGGTAGATCACAATTTCTGAATGGATACATAATTGGATGTTAGTTTATCCTCTTAAAAATAGTGAGGACTTCCGTTTGAGTGGACTTAGTAGCATGCACAGAATTGATGCTAGCCACCACAAACTGTAGGAGAAAAGTAGTCGTGGTTGATAAATTGCAGAACATGCAACTTGGTTAATGTGTAATTACGACCTCTAGTTCCAATTTCAGTGGGATGATAAGGATATGTTTGAACAAATTGGTTATAATGGGTGAAACATCATTATTTGATTGCAAGTTTGGGAAAAAGTTAGCCTAATAGTTGGTTATATTGTATTTTTGGCGTCTCTTGCAACTAGGGTCCTTACAGGTTAGTGGTTGAGGAGGGGAAATCCAAATGTTCATGGGTGAGCCTCAATGAGGTCTCGAATGTTTTGGTGCGAGGTACCAGTTCTCTCTCTCTCTCTTCCTTCCACTGTATGTGCGTGTTTGAAAATGTAGTAACTCGTATATACTTGGAAAACAACTCAAAGGCCTACCAACCACTGCTAACTATGCTTGTTATGTCTAGCATCCTCGCTGAGTTGTTTTACTTGAATGCTGTGCCAGATACCGAGAACACCCAGCATCAACGTCTTTCTGAATTGCAGAGGCTTCGCTCCATGTATGTGCTTTTATTTGTATGATTTTAATGGATTTTGTATTTCTTGATTGATTGGTGTGTCTCAACTGATAACTTGTGCTAACTGCTAACACCTCCTATGACAACACTTTACACACACACACACACACACACATTATTTATTACTTCTCTCCATTCTGTAATGAGTCTTGTCTCTGAGATCTCATTCCTGCCAATTTCTTGTGCCAGTTTTGGAACAAGTGAAAGACAGTGGGTAGAAGCTCAGGTTGAGAACGCTAAGCAGCAAGCCCTCCTCACGACACTGAAAGCTCAAGTGACCTCAGATGAAGCTCACATCCATCTTGACCTTCATTCTCTTAGGTAGTACTCAATCTTGCCAAATATTTTTTTATTCTTCTACAATAATGCTGCGGTGGTCGGCTAAATTGTTTGTTGAGAAATAGTGTTGTTTCTTATGTTGTTTTCTTATTTTCCTGCTCTGATCTCAAAATTTTAGCTTCCATATTCTTTTACTATTTTGGAAGAAAATCACTTTTCAAGAAGGTAAAAATGATTGTCTGAATTTTTTGAATGGTCATTTGGGTTCATATTAACAAGGATGATCAGTGGAACGTTAGTGGATCCTTGGGTATAAATTATTTTGGTTTTGTTTGGATTTTTTGGTTTGGTATGGTTAATTTTGAAAAAAAGTGGTATGGTTAGTTGTTAGTGGGAATTTGAATTTATATTAAAATAATAATTAAAATAAAACAAATAAAGTTGATTTGATGAAAAAGTAGGAGAGAGATGATGTGAAGTGATGGTTAGTTAAAATTATATGAGTAGATGAATAGTGAATTATAGTTGATGTAATGTGTAAGAATGATTGATTGATATTATTTAATTATATTGATAATATTAAGGATAGTGGGTTGGGTTAAAGTTGAGTTAGATTTGAGTTAAAAGAGGTGATTGGAATTTTTTGAAAAAAATTGTATCCAAGCATCCCCTTAATGTCTGTAATTTTGTTTGGTGGGGAAGGAGCAGAAGAAGAAGCCCAGGACTGGTGTTATCCTTGTGGTCTAGTAAACTTGGAGGATTTTTAGGAAAAGAATAAGCTTCTTGTTTAAATCACTCTTAGTCATGCCATTGATACATGATGGTATTAGGAGTAAATAACTGAAACCTTTTTCATTCTTGAAAGAAAACCACAACTTCATGGAAGCGCTGGCATGGAATGTGTGGTGTGTTTGCGTGCGTACGGGCTATAATCTGTTGACGCATATTGGTAAAGTTCTAGATTTTTTGATTCGCAAGGTTCTACAATTTTAACCAACTATCCTTATGTGTTATAAAACTGGAAACACAAAGTATTTAATCGGTCCATGTTCTGTGATGAATACATCTCCACTGAGATTAGGTTAAGCTGGGATTGTGCTGATTATATACTGTTTTAGTGGCAATTAGTTAGTTGTGCTTATATAAACTAGCGAAATTGCTACTTATGTGTATACTACGGAAATCCCTTATAGTTGATGGAGAATAGTTCTCTCTTCACTCTTCACAATAATCTTAGTCCTCATACATTTGGACATAACTAGCAGGTGAAGGAATTTCCTGTTTTCTTGGCATTTGTAACCCGTGAGTTTCTGACCATTGTTATTGTCCTTGAGCAGGAGAAAACACGCTGAACTAGCTGGAGAACTTTCAACTTTATATCGGAAAGAAGAGAAGTTATTATCTGAGGTTTGTAACTTCGTTATCTAGTGGCTTTTCATATTCTTCACTGTAACATGACTAGCGATTGTAATTTTTTACTTTTTGTCATGCATGTATTTTCCTTTGGTCATTCAGTCTTTGTTTATTAGTGCAAATGTAATGGGAGTTTTATACTTGGCAATATGCGTATTTAGTGGTGCTGCTGAAATAACAAAATAGTCAAATAGATCTCTGTAATCCCTCCTTACTAGAAAAATTGCACTCTTGACAAATATAGCACCCGTGGATGGAATGGTAAACACTATTCAGATTTCTAATGACTTTTGGGTCTTATACTAATTTTCCACATGCCATGTTCTCTGTCTATTTTATTACCAGTGTCTCAAGTTTTTCCCTTTTGCTTATGACTACCTTTCTGTAGACAATTCCTGATCTTTGCTGGGAGCTGGCGCAGCTACAAGACACATACATCTTGCAAGGTACAAACCATTACAATCTGGTTACTAGTTTCCAGTGGATTTATAGGTATCTCGTGTTCTCACTTTATTCACGTGCTTCGAGTTAATGATAATCTCAATTTCTTTATAATTTATTCAGGGGATTATGATCTTAAAGTCATGCGTCAAGAATTCTACATCAATCGACAAAAAGCGGTATGTATGGCGAGTTCTCCTATTTTTATACTCTGTAACTGCTTTTGTGGTTGTGACGATATCTTTTGTGGTCAATTAACCATGAAGTTTGCATGCTTTTTATGGAGCTTTGAAAAATTTCCACAACTCAAAATTCTATTTTTAGAAATGAACTCACTTCAGATCATTTTTACTTTTTACAGTTCATAAACCATTTGATCTATCAGCTATCAAGGCATCAATTTTTGAAACTAGCCTGTCAGTTTGAAAAGAAGACTATGCTTGGAGCCTATTCCTTGCTTAAAGTTATTGAGCTGGAGTTGCAAGGCTACCTGTCAGCAAGCAATGGCCGAGTGGTATGCTTTCAACAAATATATTTTATTTATTATCTAGGATTAGTTCTAAATTTACAACCTTCAAAACACAAGCTTTCTCTCTCCTCTGCGTATTATATCTCACTTGTTAAAACCTGCTTTATATCCCCCAAGAGTCGTTGTATGTCATTGGCTCAAGCTGCATCTGATGTGGCCGAACAAGGAGCAGTAGATGATCGTGACACTTTTCTCCATGGAGTGAGAGATCTGTTGAGCATTTATTCAAGTAAGACAATTTAAAGAGAGCGTAGTGTTTTTTGAGAAATACTTAATGAAACAGCTGATTATGTAAAATTTTTCAATTTTATTTATTTTTTTTTTTATTTTTTCAGATGCGCATGCTGGTATATCTACATATGTATCTGTACCGGGCATTATTCAGCAACTGTCTAACCTTCAGTCAGACCTGATGAGCCTGCAGTCTGACCTAGAATATGCTCTTCCTGGAGACAGAAACAAATGTATCAATGAACTGTGAGTTTGCTCTATTACTATCCAATATATGTATTTATTTTTCCCCCTCCTAAATCCCATTCAAATCTGAGTAATGATTCTTAAGAGCCTCTATAATTTCTATTTTGTAGGAGACTGTAACAAAATAAAATTATGACGACATGTATTTTTTTCATGTTAATATGTAACAGCCAACAAGAAGCTATGCTGCATACAGTATTTTGCAGATGGCACTGTATTTTAAGTTTTTTCTTATGGTAATATTTCAGGTGTACCCTTGTTCAAAGTCTGCAGCAATTATTATTTGCATCATCCACAACCGCACAACCAATACTAACACCCTGGGTAAATATTTTTCCATTTAAATTGTATTTATCTTGGAATGCATGCAAATAATCTTTCTTTATCTTTATGATCATCATCCTTTCCTGACATTTTTTTTTTTGCTCTCTGTCTTATATTTCCTTCTGTTTAGTCTCTAATGAAGGCACTAGATGAAATGGAAAAAGTTAATGCAAACCTCTCGACTGCAGTTGAAGATGTGACGCTTGAACATTGCAAGAAAACTGAGGTAACCTTTTCATTAAATGATTATCTCATGTTATAACCTCGAACTTTTATTAATGCTACTTCTGGAAGTTTATGTGTGTGTGTGTGTGTGTGTGTGTTTTTTTTTTTTTTCCC